TCTTCATCATGTTCAGAGCCAGGTGGGATGAGTTTTCGGGCATCCATCAGATCGGTGGATGCTACTGAGATCCACGGTTTCATTCTAGCCTTATGGTCAACCTTACTAGCAGATATCACTGCTGTTTCCACAGCCTTTTTGATATCATTCCATCCTGCTTCCGGATGGGAATCGCTTAAATGGTCGCCTAACTGTCTTTCTAGTTGTTCCTGAAATATATTTTTCGCCTTATTATCATTAAGTAAAACCCTAAGAGGCTTTCTTACGGTGTCTTTCCTACGCCCAGTAAGCTTCAAACAAATACGCGCTCGCACTAGGGCATGATCTGAATCTAGACATGTGCTCCAGAACGAGCGACAGTCCTCTATCGAACCCCTCCATCGGTGGCTGATGGCAATGTGATCTAGTTGAGTCCAACGTTGAGACGACTTTGGAGGTCGCCAGGTCAACAGATGCTTTTCCTTATGCCTAAAGTTAGTGTTTGCTAAGAATAGGCGGTTGTCTGAGCATGCTTGCAACAGACGGTCACCATTGTCTGTTCTCTGAGCCGGGACACCATAACATCCACCTAGGTGTCTCTCCTGCTCACTTAGTCTACCTACTTGAGCATTAAAGTCACCAGCCATTATTACTATATCAGAGCGCCTAGCTTTTTGGAGGAGGTCCGAAAGCTTTCTGTAAAACTCATCCTTAACCTCGTCTGAACTGCATTCAGTGGGGGCATAGGCAGATACGACGAAGAGGCAACGGCGATTGTCCCTATCTTTCCGAGTCCTTACTGTCCCGTTTAGTCGGACAGCGCACAATCGACTATCTATTGGGATCCAGTCAAGGAGAGATTGTTCTGCCCTACGACTCAATGCTATGCCTACGCCAGCAAGACCCCTGGAAGCAGCATCAGGGCTACCGGATACACGAAGAGTAAATCGAGCTGCTTCTTTATTTTGACATGGTGTCGCCAAGTGTATGACGTGACTCGGATCCTGTATGCGCGTTTCCGAGACGCAGCATACATCGATGGCACGAGATTCTAAAGTCCTAGCTAAGGAAGCCTGTTGTCCTATTTGACACAATGTCCGTACATTAAATGCTCCAACATGTAGTCTAGAGCGAGGTTTAAGGAGACCAGGAACGACGTTTCGCGAACTCGTATCGTCTGCATTAGCTGTGCACTGTGATGAATGAATGTGAGAAGAGTTAGTCGTGGAGATAAGAGAGGTACTAGGGGGTGTAGGAAGGATTTGATTTTGACCAATTCGGTCTCGCGTGCTGTTATGGGTATGAGGGCGGTTGTCACTTCCCGGCTGCCCACACCGTGGAAGGTTGTTTCTTGAGGAACCTGAAAAGGAAGATAGATTAGTGTTGGTGCGTGACCGCAGAGCCCAAGGGACAACTGCTTGAGGCCAGTCACGCATGGCCTTTTTATCAAATGTTTTTTGAGGATTAGCTCCGTTCTTAAAGGCCCTTAGTGGGCACCCTTACCCAAGGAGACGGAAATCCGTGAGTTAGGGGAGGTGTGACATTTTTAGGGCCGACCTTTTCTAACCCTTCCTTCCTTGTGAGAAGGCAGCATCGCTGCAGATGCTGGTTGTCCGAGGGAAACACCTTACTGCTGTCACACCCCTCTGCAGTCAGCAGTACGACTTCGCCCTCAGACCTTGGGTAGCTGCTTTTAGTCTCATCGTTCTCCAATCGACCTGCCTGGCATGGTAGGACCTGCAGGAACATGTGTTCCAGCCAGTATAGCTCGGTTGGGTCATCACGATAGGCAAGCCCGACCACCACGTCAAGGTAGCAGCTACGGTCGGGAGGTAAGTTAGAGAGATCTGTTTTATATGGTGACAAACTAAACGCAACGGCTTGTGATTTACGAAGCCGTTTCTGAGGGTCTTTTGAGTAAAAAAAGACCAGCGTCAATGTAAATGACTTACAAAACTGGTTACTATGTTCAATACATTCTCGATTTTTAAGCATTTAACTTGTGTTTTTCTCCTAAACAAAGATTCGATATTAGTCTTTTGAATAAAAACATTTTCACTTTATTTTACAAACACTATTAGATTAAGTAATTTTAAACTGTGTAATTACTGTTTGCATAACTCATAGGATTAAATCTGATGCTAGATTGTTATAATCCGATATGTAGGTAGGTAATTAACATAGGTAAGAGCATTCATCCTATCAATAAATAAGTATCAACTGAAAATTCCGCACTTTTACAAGTTGTAATAATACTTATCAATATTGTTATGAGTACATTCTAACTATAATTACAAAATAAAATTCTCTTGTTTTTAATTACTGCATCGCACTCATGATTTTGTTTAAACATAATATTTGACTGAGTCGATTCGCTGCTCTAAAACAAAAATAATTCAGCTGTATACAATGAACTGGAATTATTAGTGAAAAGCATGTTACAGAACAATATACTCAATTTGATGATTATTACCTTCAATTGGCCATTTTAAAAAGTAGCTTTATAAATAGATAACTTACGCTCTCTTCCCAGAGTACATAAAATATAATGATTATTATCAATGTAATATCTATCAACCGATGTCCATTGTGACCGACTGACAGATCAGTGGAGCGGGCTTCTTTAACTGGGAGAATCCTTTCTGGTTACACGTGTTACATGTTATGCTCGTCACTTGATATGCTTGAAACTATTACGGCTTCACCTTAGTCGATAAACAAGAATGAGAAAATGAACAAGTAACACGTTATGCTACTCTTATCAGTTACCCCAAAGGAACTAACGAAGAAGTTTTGATATAGCGTAGAAAATGTATTCTACAAACACCCAGCAAACACAATGAACTCAAGCAAACAAGTCGCGTTTATTTATACATCACGTCACGAACATAGCACACTAAAATAACACAGCAACCAATCACAGCCAAAGATTTTCCTGGTGGGAAATGTGATCTCAAGGTCAACTGATCAGCCCATGAACAAAATCCAAAATTAAGATATTTAGCGAGTGAGTTCTGGGGATCTAACGTCCCTAACATCTTCAAATGAATTGTTTCCCCTATTATTTCACTCTAAGCACTAAGCACTCCGTAACAAAAATGCAGTGACCAAAACTGTATTCTCAAGTGTTTATAGTATAATTAGGCTGTTTTTAATAATCAAATGATTACTTAAAGAAATTCGACTATTATGAATTCTATTTTTTATAAGATATTACTTAGATTTATTGCGGACTTATTGTTTGACTAAGTAAACAGCACAATATTAACCAAACATTCAACACATAAGGCTTATTCGAATACAATAAGAATCAGATGAATAGTTATGTAAATACACAAATTCACTACCAGTTAACACGATAGCTGGTAAAATTAACGTAAACTAAACTATGAGATACTAACTAATCAGACAAACTTAACTATGAAGCTGCTTAAAATTATAGGCGTTATATAATTAACAGTTTAGATTTTGTGGAAAAAGTTAATTAAAAAAATGCTGCTGGATGGTCACTTGCAATATTTACAGGACTTTATAATGTCTAACGCTAAACAATACTGAAACACTTAGCTAAGCAACTCTATTGTATTGCACAGTTGATAGAATACGATTCATACTCATAAACAGATGTGGTGTGATGTAATCTAATTGCAGTGACAGATTAGTTTACATAGTGTAGTAGTAGTAGTGTGTAGTGTAGACGCCTTATTTGAAATTTGAATGCTTCACTTCTATCTGAAGTTTGTGCTGATGATGTTGTTCAGAAGAACAATGAAAGCTCCACAACCAAAACAATCAGCTCAGAGAACGAAACACCACCACGAAATTTGAATATAGAGGTAACGATCTCAGAAATGTACAGAAATTAATGGAAAACTTTTTTTTTCTACCACTATCGCATTCTCACCGATACAAAGTTTTCGGGTGTTTTTTCCTTCACACCTGACCATTTAGTGTTTGACAAAAAACAGATTAACGATATTCTAATGATTGGACATTTTGAAGACTTGTTGAGACTGTACACAATGAAAGACCCAGATAAGTCAACTGAAAAACAGCTCCATAAAAAAAACTCAGAAACAATTTTAACGTTACACAGCGTATTTTGAAAAAAGCACATGTTACGCATTTGAAACCTCACTCTACTAACACTTCTAGTTCCGATTATCCAGTTTGGTTTAATCTCATGCTTGTGTTTCATGCTGACGATTGTTTTCCCTACTAAGTGTAAGTGCATTGTATGTGCCGACTGAGCCGTCGACTACACCTTACCTTTCTTGTTCTTTCCTCTTCCAGATAGCCTTACACTCTTTCAGCTTATTCAGCACCTTACAGCTAAACGCGAAATAAGCAAAAGCTGAAGTTACACACAAATACTATGGAAGTATGTTAAATAAACTCAACTGGTAGCAAGACGCGAACAGTGGAAATGTTTTACCAACTGGCTGTAAATATGCAGAATGTTAGTGGGACATAGATGGAATTAAAGCATGACTACGTTGCTGCGTGCTGATTGGCTAATTTCCTATCCAATCAGCGCCTGATCGGGTCTTGGAGAACAGGGTAGAAAATTCTCGTGCTGTTAGCTGCACGCTGATTGGCTAAATCTATTCCAGTCGATCACGTGAATTACAATCCAGAAGCTTTTCATGTAAAAACTATAAAGATACTAACGTTGTATCTATTTTGCCCTTACCTTCGGCTTCTTATTTCTATTTAACTATGCTATTTGGAATATAATCTTTTTCCCGTTCCACCATGTTTTTGATTCTTTGGAACTTGTCTAGTGTATTGTGGTCAGAGTATACTAAGCAACAGGAATTAGCTGGGAATTATTTAAGCAAGTGTTACAACACAGAATAATTTAGTTGACAAATGACTATTAATAAGCAAAGGTAATTGACTATTTTCATTTAGTCTTCAACAAATCATAAGTTCTTATATTAAATAATAATAATAATAATATGTATTCTTGCTTTATGATACAATTTATTGTGTTTTTCTTTCGACAATCACTCAATCAATCAATCAGTAAATACAATATGCTTTACTTCTGCCACTGGACCTTTACACAATTCAACAACTTTAGCTTTTTCCAATCGTTTCGCTTGCCAAGATGGATGTAGATCAGGTTTAGATAATTCAGAGATTACAGCAGTTTCTGTAGCAGTATTACTGGTTGTTTTGTGCATTTGTAAAGTTTTTGGTTTCATTCTGTCAGGAAATTTGGTAACATTTTGTTTTTTATGAGATATGTATGAAGAAGAATTCTTTTTCAAATGTTGTTGTTTTGTAGGATTCTTTAAATGTTTCTTTTTCTATTAAAATAATAACGGAATATGATTAAGTTGACAGAATAACGATCAGCGAATTTATGAAAAAAAAGATAATTTATGAAATTTAGTGACTAGACAACCTAATTTTATGTGTATGATCAGCTCATACTTGTGTAGGCACATAGTGAAAGAATATGAATAGCTATAACACGCATGATTATCATAATTGAAAAGGGTACTGTTTAAATTGTGCAGAATAGACAGAATGCGGCTAGCATCATGCGCGTTTCGTTCTAATCGGGACTTGTATTTAAGTTCGATGTACTTGCGTCTCAGAGTTGATGTAATCTCCTGGAATCGAACTTCTTTGCTTCAAACATTATCGCGTTATGCACTCTTAGCTTTGAGATGCAGGTACATCGAGCAGAAAAGTGCCGAATAGGGCGAAGCGTGAGTCATGGATTCCGCTGCTAGTTACATTCCATTTATTCTACGTAAACGTATATCACGATGGCTATATATATAAACAGTCTGCATAGAATACCTATATGCCGACCAAGACTGATCAATTTTGGTGAAATATCTAAAACAGGATAATTTAAGAGCAAGATGAAATTATGCTTTCTAAGAACAGCAAAGTCATTTATAGTTTCGTAAGGCAATAAGAAAGTGAGAAATCGTGACCAGTGGAGTTCAACCCTGTCGGATGTAGGCAGTAACTATCGAAGACAAACGCGTGAAATCGCGCAAAATCCCTAGACTTATTAGAGTTAGATATTAACACCGTTGGATACCGGCTCAATGATTAGGCGTTCGTGCGCAAAACCGAAGGTTTTGGGCCCCAATCCTGCGAGGAGTCGTGGATGCGCACTGCTGATGAGTCCCATAACGAAAAATAGGTAAGTAGAAAGAACTATATATATTATATATATATATATATATATATATATATATATATATATATAACAATGACTGATTACTGAAACATATTTTATGACGTTTTTATTACTACAGAAATAAAACGAAATTGAAGTGAACAAATGTACTAGACAACAGCGGCGACATAGATTACTCAAGAATGACAAGAATAGGGTACACCTTACGTGTTACTTACATGTTAAGAACATCATATGAGTAAAAGACTGATAAACATGTTTTGTTTGACACTTATGTTATTTGAAGTGTTTTCATTACTCAATGCAGATAGATAATTGACGAAGTAGGGAAATTGAAAGTTGTAATAATAAAAACCAATTAAATGAAACGAACAAACAAACATATTCAATAGAGATTTTTACTGATGACAGTACTTTAAAGTTTTAGCACAAATAAACTAATTGACACTTACAAATAACTTTCTAGCTTCTTTATCATCATCACCAAGTGGATCGTCAAGTTCATCATCAATTAATGAATTTTCTAATTGATGAGTTTCTGCAGGAATTTCATGATTAGAATTAGATGAGATCTAATGAAAGCATTGACAGTAGATGAAAAAACAAAACAAGAAATTAGATTATTAATTCATAGTTGATCAGAAATATTTCCTTTAGTAAAGTAAACGCTAAAATAAGACAGTGAAAATAAGTTATCATTAACATAAATAGAACCAGTAGAAAAGAGTCATGTTTACAACAAAACCAAGAAGTAAGTAGAACACTGAATTTTTTCTTTGAAAAGGCAAAGAAACAACTTTGTTAGGTTGATGTAGCTGACTAAATAGTTCACTGTTAAATGACTCATTTGAAGTTGCATAATGTCTGGAATTCATTATTTTACTTATCAAGGTATCATAAACACATTAATCTTGTAATTAAAAACAAAAGTTCAAATTGTTAAATAATCAAAGTGAGTACAACATTAGATGTTTTAAATAATTTGAAGAAAAACATTATGGTCTCTTCCTCTTTTTTTTGTATATAAATTCGGATCATAAGTATTCATAAATAGCGAAGCTACACAGTTGAACATTGAATAACTAATATAGACCACAAGATTGAGGAAGATAGTGCTAGATTACTGATGAATGAATCTTTGAAATAATCCATTTACAGATTAGTATTAACAATTAAGATTATGCTTAGCTGTGAAAGAAGAGTATCAAAAATTAAAGTTACATATGCTTCGAGAGACTTTATTTATCAGCAATAATGCTAAATGACAAAAACACATCCGGAGTGATGTGTGACAAACTAGGTGTGATATTACACATTTGAGAAAAATAAACCATCAAATCCATAGTAATGATAACAATAATCGTAATAATAACAATGGAACTCTTTCATAAGGTATTCCGTTTGTATATTAGGCTGTCAGTCATATTATGTGAAAGCCGATAATACATTAACTGAACTAATTAAATTAAATTAGGTACTCTACATAGTCCTACTTGGTGAAGACGCTGATAAAATGCAGAGTCTTCTGACTACCCTAAGCAACAATGCAAGCATGTTCGGGATGCGGTTCTCACCCTCGAAATGCAAAATGTTGCTTCAAAATTGGGTTTCATCCGCACCTGAACTAGTGATAGGGAGTGAAGTAGTCGGACGTGTAGACCGCTTCACTTATCTGTGGAGTCTCATCAGTGCCGATGGCTCGGATACAGAAGGCTCGATTGGCTTTTGCCAAACTGCGTCACTTATGGCGAAGGCGCGATATCCGTTTGTTGACTAAAGGACGAGTGTACTGTGCGGTATTTCATTACGTCTTACTTTATGGCTGTGATACATGGCCAGTCAGAGTAGAAGATATTCGTCGGTTATTGGTTTTCGATCATAGGTGTCTCAGAAGCATCGCTCGTATATCGTGGGACACCCGAGTAAGCAACGCTGTTATTAGGAAGCGGGTGCTAGGTAAGGATGGCATATCAATCGATGAAGTAATGAAACTTCATCAGTTGAGGTGGTTGGGACATGTGTTACGTATGCCTAACCACCGACAGCCTCGAAGAGCTTTGTTTTGTGCTGCAGGAGTAGGTTGGAAGGGGCGACCAAACCAAAACATGGCAGAAATCCATGAAGTCATTGACGAGTGGACTGAGCCATGTCGGTAATTGTCGACTACCTGGTTGGGTTCCGCGAGATGATAATAATCGATGGTTAGAGACCTTGAATGACATGGCTCAAAATCGTTCGCAATGGCGCCGGTGCATTTATTCTTTGTGTTCTCCAAAACCATAATCTTCTGGATTCGTCAACACCTCTACCTTTTTTTTTCTAAACTTATCTCAATGAATCATACTTCTTGAATAATATCTTCTAATCCTACCCTCTCTGATTACTTCTAATACCTTTACTACCTCTTCTACTACTGGATTTGAATTGACAATTACATCTCTGTGCTGATGTGGTATGGCGACATGAACTGATGTACTTACGTACGAAGTTCTACGTTGCATCTGACTGACTGAAAATAGGTACTCTGGGATTTGAAGCTGATATTTAATGAATATAAAATCCGAGTGATTTACCTTATAAGTTGAAATAAATTATTTGAAACTTTTAGGTTTAGTTAATTTACGATAACATCACTACGGATTTGTCTTATTCTTGATTTTGTTAAACCCTAACCAGATGAAACTCTTGACTAAGAATTCAGAAATTCTTTTTGTAACTCGGCTATTTAGTAAGTTTAACGATAGTTTGATCTAATTGATCTAATCAATGCACTTTAAAAGTGTGTCAACCAACAGCTTTTATCAAATGAATAGTCTTACAACTTTCAATAAATGGTGGTTATGATAATCGATTATAGATTCTTCTTTCTTGACTTTCATTACGACCTTAAATCTATGAAACTTATGACTTGCATTTTGATGAAAGAATATAAATTAATATATTTTTTTCAAAACAAACAAATAAGGGATATTAGTAAATCAGTCTTACATTAGATTTTAATGGCAGTTTCAGTTTTTTTGATTTATTCACTGTTCGTTCAATTGATCCATCTGTTATAGAAGAAAGATTATGATCCATGGTAGTGGAATTTGTCACTGAGGATCCGGAAGTAGTTTTTATATCGTTGCTTTTTGTAGGAATTCCTTTTCGTTCAAGTAATCGAGTGATAATTTCTGGCATTGCTATATTAGTATTATTAAATATGTCCTTATCAGCAAGTGTATCTTTAAATGAAAGCTTTTTTACGCAATTTTCAGATTCCGAACATGCGTTGTGAATACGATAGGATGAGTGAGAGTTGCTAAATAAACAAAGCGGGTTCAAATAAAAATATACTGATGGGAAATGTAAAGAGACTTAGTTACTCAGCGACTCTTATAACAAGTTTAAATATTGATAGAAATAAAGAGTTGGATTGTATTTTGACGTGAGATACAATTCTTAGAAAAAGTAAAGGAATTATGCGCTCAAAAGCCTATTTGATAAACTTTAAGGCGGATACTACTTATTCACAAAATATCCAGATATGAGGAGAAAAATAGTTATAATGACATTGTAGCCCAGTGATCACAGATTAGAACTTCACTTCGTAGGGTACTAGTGTTCGATCATAACCATCGTAGAAGCAATGCTCGTATATCCTGGGACCACCGAGTAAGCAATGCTGGAGTACTACATAAGGATGACAGATGGATTGATGAAGTAGTGAATCTTCATCAGTTGAGTTGGTTTGGACATGTGTGACGTATACACCCCAATCACCGACAACCATGACCAGCAATGGTTTCTGGTGTAGACGTAGGTTGGAAGAAAGCTAGGGACAGCCAAAACAAAACATGGTACCAGTCAATGAAGTAATTGATAACTGGACTGGGCCATGTTAGTAGGTGTAGACTGTTGGTGCTCTATATCTACTGGTTTGATTTTACACTGATTTCGATTCGCTAAGGACGTAAGGATAAGGTACTCCATTGATCATACAGGTTTATAAAATGAGTTGTGATTACCGATTCAGACACCTGTGTTGCAGGGACAGAACAATTAAAAGCCAGAGGATTTGCTTCCTGTATATGAGCAGACAATATAATGGTAGATTAATTAGTGAAATATCAGAATTGTTTAGGAATGAACTGACACGATAATTATTACAGTATCATTGTTTGAGCATTTTTCTGACTCTTTCTTTCGTTTTCAAAGTGAAGGAACTGCAAACACTGGTGGAATTATTACGGCAAGCTAGAGACATTTCTGTTAACACAAGCAATGCCTGAGTATGCAGTTTAACTAAATCAATCAATTTATCTTCTAAATCATCTAGGGGCGGCCAAAACAAAACATGGCAGAAATCCATGAAGTCACTGACAAGTGGACTGAGTCATGTTGGTAGATGTAGGCTATCTGGTTGGGGTCCGCGAGACGATAGTCACCGATAGTTAGAGACCTTGAACGACATGGCTCAGAATCGTTTGCAATGGCGCAGGTGCATCCACTCTTTGTGTTCTATGAAATTCTAAGCTTCTGCATTCTTCATAATCTCTACCTTTCTCCTTTTAAATTTATCTTACTGAATTATATATACTTCTCGAATCATATCTTCGCTCCCTAATCTTCTCCATTACTGCTAATACTTCTATTATTGCTATCACTCTTGGATTTGAACTGACAGTTGCGTCTCTGTGCTGATGGGGCATGGCGACCTGAACTGATGTACTTACGTACGAAGTCCTGCGTTGTATCTGTCTGTCTGTCTGTTTTTCTCAGTTAGAGATCTGAAATAATTAGTTCTCATTGGCCCGAACGTAAATTTGTTTACAACTGATTTTGTAATATGTGACTTGAGAAGCAGGATTTATAAAGGTTTAGAATGATTTGAACAAAGTTAGACTGAGCTAGCGAGTAACTAATGTCTAAAGTAAAACTGCTTGTACAAATAACTAAGGCAAATACTTTATATTTGGACTAAATTATTTACATAACCAAAAGTAATCTCATCACTTCAACAGGTTAAAACATTTGTCTTAAGCAAACAATACCTCTGATCCTCCGAAATATCAAATTCTGTTTTTTGTACAGGTGCAGGAGGCAGTGGTAAGGATCCGCGAACTTTTCTATTCCGACGTTTTTGCTCTCTTGACTTCCATTTACCTGATATATTTTTGTAAAACAAATAATGAACGAGACTAATCCAGTCCTCATGTCTTTCACGAAATGATTTGATGAAGGTGGATAAGGGTTTTGATGACTTGAGGCGCATAATTAAACGGTCTTCTTGAGTGAGAGTATGTCCATTTTTCTGAAGCTAAAAATAATCATATAAATGATTATTTTTAGCTTTGTCGTACCATAAAAAAAGGACGATCATCAATACTTTTATCTCTACTGAATTCTTTCTGATGAACACTAACATATTTTGATCATCGAAAAATGATCATCATAATGAAAACAGTTACATGAACGAAGAATGTTTTTTAAATAAATGTTTATCAGGTTCTGTAGTTATATATCTAAATTAATAATTAGAAGAGTGGCTAAGTTTAAGGGAAATGTACAATTTCGAACTGATGTGTACATTTAGGATTTTTTGGATATCAAATGAAATTAATTTATGGACGAATAATAAGTATTTTTAACATGCCCAGTATTAAAGCGAGTGTCTGATAAACGTTTTAAAGGGAAGCTTAGTCTCTTTTATACAGAAGTACTTCTTTATTAAGCCTAAAAACCGTGTAGATTTACGGGTAATAAAAGAGGCATGTTTGTCAGATATGGGGAACCCTTAATAATGAATAACCAGACCATCCGCCGAAAAGAAATAAGTAGCTGTTCTGGGAGATTTATAATTCAGTCTGTCACTCAGTTAATCCAAGCTGCCATACCACATTAGAACAGATATAATTGACAATTGAAATACCATAATAGTAGAGGTAATAAAAGCAGTAGCGGTAATGGAGAAAATCAGAGTTCGAAGATATTATATAAGAAGTATAGTCCAGTGAAAAAAAATTAAATAAATAAATAGACGGTCATGAGGAGTCCAGAATATTAGAATTTGAGATATCACAGAGAGTGGATGCATCTGTGCCGATGCACTATGACACTGCAATCTACATCGGTAGGTTTATCGTGAAGTTTCGAGTCCCAGAAACTCTAACATTTACATCAGGGGAAAATAAGTACTATAAACATTTGTGTTTACAGCTAACATGATAACCGGATATTGTTATGGAATACGACACCAATGTTTAGCTTTACATTTAATAACTTACTATGTTTCATAAGTTCTTATTTTAAGACTACGAAAGTATGATAATGTCCCTTCAAAACTGACCAGATTTTCCCTCATAGTCGGAAGATTGGGTTAGCAAACATTAGAAGTATGAACTCTCATATACGAAATATGGAAACCAGTACGGCTAATCAGTATAAGATATACATTTCCGAAGTAGCTACTGTTTCATAGAGTGAATTTCGTGACATATGACAAAACTAAAAAGGCGTCTCGAAACTCACATGATTTTTATCAGTTTCTTCTGACAACAACCGTTTACATAAACGAACAACCGAGAGATTGTGCAGGAGTTGAATTTCAGACATTTTGTTATTAATTTTGTTTTCTATTCGTTTAGAAGCTTCAGGACGAGACGACTTCTTTCGCAAACGTTCGATGGTCCGCGTCAGATCTCTGAATACATGTACCTAATCTTCAGAATGTATTTTACACCATACCTTTGCAGTTCTCACTATTTTCCGCATCTTAGTCAATTCTTCGTTCAGCTCCTCTACAGAAGCGGATGGCTCAGGAATACGGCCATCCAGGTTGAAAGTCAAAGACATTTTCTCCCGCACAATAAATCCACAGTATACTTATTACGAACTGGCATAAACTTTTAACTGAGCTGAGGGAGTGAAGAGTAGTGTGTGAGGTAACCTGGAAGAGGAAATAGGGAAAGATAATGTGAGCAAACGACTCAGAAAGCACATAAAGTGCACCTAGATATATTAGATAAAGCAGTGGACAACAATCAAAGATAAAACATGGATGAGATTAAGGCTACCAGGTGACCTCAACTATAAGTTGGTAGAGCACAATTTTGAATGCGTCAGAAAAAGAAGGTTATTCAACATCCAATATCTTTTCCCCGTGGGAGTGTGAAATAATTGATTTCTTCGTTTTTGATCCTTGCTCTTCCGCCACGGTTCCAGGTATTTGATAGTGTCCATTGAGTGTTAATCTAGTCACTCCACTGGCAGTTATTTATGAATTTGTATGGACTGTAATTCGAGTGAGTGAATGTATCATAGCTAAATAGTTTCTCGATACCAGCAGCCATCATATCGTCAGGCCAGAGGTCAGCTGGTTGAAATGCGGAACCTGATAAAGTGGAAAATTCTGATGCTATTTAGAAGATGTGTGTTTCAAGAACTGAGTAAATAGTTTAAATATTTGGTAGTGCTGATAGATTGAGAGGATCGACACGAAAACATTCAATACAAATTATTGTCATATGCCATAATAACATCCGTTTATCATGTCAGATGTAGACAAATATCTAGTGATTTTACTTTTATGAAGAGAACGTGATTGGTTTAATAGACACATTTATTATTACAACCAATTCTACCAGTGATTGTTTGACTGAACTGTTTGTTTATAACAAACTTTTTGCTTGTGTTGCTGCCATTTTGATGCCCTCATCTAGCCTTACTTTCTTTGCTCGATTCCGCGAAATCGACAGCAAATATATTCTTCACTATGGAATAACCATTCTTCTCTGTGACGGGGTCGTAATTGCTGTAGTCAATCGCGACCCGATCGCCGCTTCAAACTGATGAGCTGATTTTTATTAAAAGAAGTCAATTACGGTGAGTCTGTTATTCGTTCATCTCTATTTTTATCATGTTGCTATGCTATTATTAATTTCATGATTCTTGCGACGACGTTTCAAAATGGTGGATAGCTATAATATGGTAGACTCCTAAGTGCAGGTCACTGCATTTTGACTTGTCTGCTTCCTATCACTTCAAGTCGTTCGTTTGTTTTACGTGCACGATTATCGCACTAACGCTAGGCACCCAGTTAACACAGGTGCCCATATTTCGGTGGTATTACTTGGTAGCAGCAATTCACAAGCTACAATTCTTCGACACCGAGCTTCGAATGGTTCTGTCACTCCTACCTACGCTACACTACTGCTTACGATCAACCTAAATAACCGACGACAGTATCTATGGACTTTCATCAGTCTTGGCGAAGGTTGGCCTAATCACACACGCACTTGTCAATGCACTGAGCTGATGTTCTGGTTGCGAATACGTCTGGCATTCGTTTGGCCTCGAGCTTGGTCGTTATGATCATTTCTGGTTCCTTCGCTCACTCTGGTTCCGTCCTTCTGCAGCGTTTTCTGGTCCGGACCACTACAAACGCAATCCTCAGAATCCGGATACGAGCCATGCTGATGTGGTACACTAACCCGAGTAACGAACATCGCACGTTACCACTGGTACCATTCAGAAAAGATCTTTGGTTACAAATCGAGCTTTATGGATTGCCTCATGTTTCATCAAACCTTCCATCCTACAATCACGAACGAAACCGATACGTATCGAATGTGTAAACCCTTTCGAGCGAAAGTCATATTTAGTGGCTCTACTTTTATGGAGAGAACGCGATTGGTTCAACGGAAACATTCATTATTATAACCAGCTGTACCAGTGATTGTTTAACTATACTTTTTGTTTATTACACTCTTTACGCTCAAACTTTTTGTTTTGTGTCGCTGCCATTTTCGCTCCATCATCTGTGTTATTTCGCCTCACTTTCTGGAAAAAGGCCAGATCAAACAAGAAATTATTCTGAGAAATGGAAGCAGACATGAAAAGAATAAACAGCAATTAAGCAAAACTGGAAAGGAAGACTAACGTCAGGGTAGGTCGGGGAATGCTGGTCAGCGGCCTTGAGGCGAGCGGAGTAAGTAAGCAGTTAATGGGCTGTACCAGCAAGGCTAAAATGAAAACAACATTGAACTGCACTGCCTATCAGCTCAAGGCCTTTTTTGAGGACACGTCCGCCGTAAGGTTACGTTACATAACCTCAAACAACGTGATAGCTGCTGATATACAGAAAGCCTACTGCGCTGTAACAAATGTATTAATTCAAAACACGGGACATACAAACTCACAAAAAACTACCGGATTACTAGAGTTAGTGCAGTTGAGTGACCAGACGCCCATCAGTTGGACACTTTCAAACTCCTGGAACCGTACCGAGAGCACAAGAATCGAGAGCAAAGTAATCATTTTGTTTACACAAGCCCGTGAAAAAGATATTGGATTGGATTCTGAAGTTGACTACTATCGCATCGAAATATTTTTAAAATGCATTTGGGAGTAGAGTAGAATTTTCACGTAGTAATATGTTCACCGACCATTAGGAAAGTTGTTTTTGAGTGAATCAGAAATGAGTTTCAATGTGAAAAAACATGGATTCGAAAATGGAAGTAATTTAATGGTAAATTTTAAGACCAGAATTTTTCGGAGGTAGTACATTATGTGGTTCTAATAACATGTTAAGGACAGCATACTTTAAACACACTGCCTTGCTAATTAGGTTACCTAATCCAACAAAGATCAGTCAGTCAGTCAGCTATAACGTACGAACAATTCAAGTTACTTTGCCATAGCTGCTACCTTGACTTGGTGATCAGGCTTACCTGTCGTGATGATCCATCCGAACTATACTGGCTGGAACACATGTTTCTGTTGGTCCTACTATGCCAGGCAGGTCCGTTGGAGAATCTTAAGACTAAAATCAGCAACTCAAGTTCTGAGGGTTAAGTCGTACTTCTGATTGTAGGGGGGTGTGACAGCAGTAAAGTGTTTACCTTGGACAACCAGCATCTGCAGCGGTGCTGCCTTATCACAACAGAAGGGAAGTGTTAGAAAATATCGAACATAAGTTTGAAACCTGAAGAATTTCTGTCTCCGGAGGTAAGGCAACTTAAAGACTGAAGCTAGCAAGTCAACCCACCATAAAAATGGCATGCGCAACTGGCCTCAAGCAGTTGCCCCTCGGGCTCTGTAGTCAGGTTGCTTAGACCACCTCCAACCTGATTTCTTTTCGGGTTCCTCGAGAAGCACCCTTCTACAGTGTCGGCATCTGGAGATTGATATCGGACTTGATACCCATAACAGCACACGAGGCAAAATTTGTCACAATCAATTCCTTCCTACACCTCCTAATATCTCTTTTGTTTGCACCAATAACCCTACCCACATTCCTTTATCAGCTCGCGCATCAAAGATTAGGAAAGCTGAAGAATGAAGGTTTTTCGTAGTTATTATTTTGTTAAACAAAAGTTACACAGTATTAACTTAATGACGAGGAAAATGAAATAAAACAGAAGTAAAAGTAAATAATAGAAAGTAAACAACGACAACAAGGTAAATTATTACTCATATATATCTTATAGATAGATATATATATAGATAAATATATACATAAATTAGACAACGTATGTGAATATAAAGATGATTGTGATAAACAAAAATTAGTGTTCGCGTTGTTTGAAAACCATTCCAATATTAATAATAATAATAACAATTTATCCTTGAATGAAAAGCAAAATCACAAAATATATCAATTGAATATTGAGCACGGTGATTGATAGAGAATTAGTATACAAAGATAAAACGATTATGCGGTATAAAAATCAATGAACATCTTTATTTTAGTAGCACAAAAGGATGTCGAAGATTGCTGCCTTTTTTTTCTATGCTACTGATATATTTTCATAATTGAATCAATGGAACGCATTGGACAGTGAATACACACTTGAGCATACAGTAAAACAACAATGAAAGTGAGAATATTACACAGCAATATGAAAATGAAGTTAATGATAAATGCTAAAACTATTCAACTATTAGTGTTAATTGCATAAAAACGAAAATGCATTGATTCTTTGAAAAGCAATACAAGTACAAAGTGCTAGGCTAATGCCGATGCACTACGGATGAGTTGTAAAAGTAGTTCTCCAGGCAGAAATATCAAAGGACTGATTTGGAATTATGATAATAAGACAAAATGAATCGGAAGTTAAATGCTGATCGATAGATAAAATATCATCAAAAAAAGCAGACTATAGATATTTGGAAAAGAAAAACATGACTTTTATTACAAGAAGGTTACTTTAAAATTTCGACGTAAAAATAGCAATTAACCAGTAGGGAATTTTAATAAATTCTGGAAATAAAATAGCCAAATGTTTCCAACCGATCAATTGTAACAATCGTTTAATAGAACGTAAATTTGTGTAATTACAACCATCGCATGATTTGATACCGAATTCCGCTGCCAGATCAGCAGCATACAAACATCGACCAGAGCGTTGAAGTAATTTTTTATTCTTTGATTGTTGAGCTAAACATGCAATGATATCACCGAGAATAGGAGCAGGCATAGCTAAATGAAATTATAAATTTAGCGGAAAAAAAGTTACCAATCTAATTTAATTTACAGAGAAGAAACATGAAAATTGATCAGTTATTTGGAAGAAGTACTATTGTAGTAAACGAGAACACAGGTGGGGCAACCGAATTGTATTCAACGAAAATTACAGAGTTACTCACTAAAATTGGAAAACCATATCGTAAATCGTTCATTTGCAAACTTTCAGTTCATCATATCGAACTGGACTGTTCCTGTTGCAAAACATCAATCCATTGTCACTATTCATGCGTTTCATACAAATTACATTGTGTTCTTCTAACTCTTCCTCCTTTCTTGATCTTCGCCCATCTTTTGCTGCCAGACATTACATTGACACTCACGTCATATACTACTTATAAGTAGCTCGCACCACAACTATGTATTTGACTAAAAGTACACAAAATGATCAGCATTTAACGTGCACTGTTGCAATAAATTCAAGTATTACATAGATTTTCTATGTAAATATTTATGTAAGAAAAGCTTTGCAACAGAGCCTAGCTAGTACTATCCAAGTTTATAGAGACACTTGTCATATCTTATTATACATAGTTGATGCTTTGATTGTGTTGCGTTTGTCTCTCTCGCCTGTCTAAGGGATTGAAGAATAAGAAAATTAGCCAACTTTCATGAATTGTTCTGATCAGATAACGATTTACTAAGCATTTTTTTTTATAAGAGCACATGAGCATTTTTCAACAGTCGATCAATTTTTGGTTAGATTGATAAAAATCGTTTAGAAACAAGAAAATTGGATAATAAGTTTTGGAAATCGAACGACTGATTGGTCGAGAATTTCGAGTAAGATAAACGATGAAAAATTGAAAAAAAATATATAAAAAAGGAAACAAGGTAAAATTCGGAGAATTCCATTCAACATAACTTAAAATTATTTGACTAAAAGAACCTTATTAAATGCACCGGCGCCATTGCGAACGATTTTGAGCCATGTCATTCAAGATCTCTAACCATTGGTGACTTTCATCTCGCGGACCACAACCAGTTAGTCTACATCTACCAACATGGCTAAGTTCACTAGTCAATGACTTCATGGATTTGTGCCATGTTTTGGTTTGGCCGCCCCTAACTTTCTTCCAACCTATTCCTACACTACAAAACAAAGCTCGTCGAGGCAGTCGGTGGTTAGGCATTCGCAGCACATGTCTCAACCACCTCAACTGATGAAGTTTCATTACTTCATCTATTTGTCTGCCATTAGCGGTTCATATATGCTATTCAAGAAGTATAATCCAGTGAAAAAAGAAAGATAACAGTGATGAGGAATTCAAAAGACCAGCATTTACAAGTACTGTTGTTAAATTTTGGAATCAAATAAAAAATATCCTATTTCAATGATTATTGAATGAATGAATGAACATTAATTCAAACAATTTCCAAGTACATTTTGAAAAAGAAAGGAAAACAAAACAAAGGAAATTTGTAACACTGATTCAAATAAATAAAAATGGTAAAAATTTACCCATTCTCAAACTGATATCATAACCAAATAATTTCAATGAATTATTATTGCCATTTTCATAAGCTGATACAACTGATTCTGTTTGTATAAGTCCTGGTATAATACTGACAATGCAAATGTTCGCATTGTGTTTGCGTAAATCATATGCCATTTCTTGACTGATTCTATCCAAAGATGATTTGCCTTGATTGATTAATAATGCAGAATGAAAGAGAGAGGACTAGTTTTCATAACAGATGAATGGATTTTGTTGAATTTGGTAAAAAAAAGGTTACAATAAAAAGATTGCTTTGATTTGGAGGTGACGACATTCATCAGTGATTTGTCTTAGTTACGAGATTACTACTGAAGATCAATGCAGCACTGGACACTTGTTTGTTCCTAGTGTGGAACTAACTCTTAAACACTTTGTAATGACAAGCTCATTAGCTATAGAACCTAATTAGAAACAGCACACTTATGCATTGGGGGACACAACAGAATGGATGCAAACAGTTTCTCAATCTAGAATAACACGCAGATAAAGGGCCCTAACACTGATTTTTCATTGAATGAGTTCAACGAAAGGGTACACCATAGTACTGGAGCCTAAATCGTTATCAAGAAAGATTCACTATGTTATTGCATTTTTCAACTAATTCTAAGCCTTTATGAGTTTTGTGTTTAAAACCATGAAACATCAAAATAAAGACAGTATTGAAATAGTCAATTAATTCAGTGATCAACAAATCAAGTATTATGTTCTGACACAAATGTGTATCGAACCGACTTGTCACCGCAAAAAAACTAACAAGTTAACAAGATGATTATGAATCGTGAAAATAAAATGTGATTCGTAAAAGGAACAGATGAATATACAGAAGAAAAAAGGCATAAAAAATCATGTTCGAGCTTAAAAATCATTGGCATAAGAACAATTGCATTTGCACTAACACAAACCGACTTTTTCGGGTAATATCAGTTATTTTATATTATTTTATTTACAACCCAACTCATACGGTGGCATTGCGATCGATATGAATATCATATAGGAAAACAATTCCGAACATTCTTCATTACAACATATGGAGTGTATCAATTCTGATAGAAACTAACCTTTGGATTGAAAAAAAAATCATCTTAGTGCAGTGGATTGTGACTAGCAGTGAAATTCACTAACTGTGATTCGCTTTATTAGATGACTAGTCAAATGGATGTACCTTTATCTCAGTGTTTAAATCAATCTATTTTGTTTGCAAAAATATAATACAAACTATGTGAGCAAATTACACATTCGTGATCAGTCTCCATCATCCAGAACATCATACTCTTTATTTAACTAAAACTTCAATTACTCTCTGTTAAGCGAAGGGAACGTTCAATGAAGTCAGTAAAACTGTTTGAAAACGGTGTGAATTGAAAAAAACTATTGTCTATTAAGTGGATTACCGGTTCAAATGAATCTTTTTCAAATTGTACAAGCACGAAAATTGTACCTTTGATAATTCGAAAAAAAAGTTTTCTTCATTATTTCACCACAAACTTGGTGAATAAAGCCAGAACAACAATTTAGGCAGAATAATGTGAATTCATTTGTATTCCATAGTTTCTCATCAGCTAATTACAACCATAAGTGTTATAATTGCAGAAGAAATCAGTCAAAGCTGTAAATTTACCTACGTAGTGATGATAAGTTGATTGTTATCTCTTTCTGTAACTTGATTATTAATTGCAAGTCTATAAGCTGTATGCGGACGGGGCTCGAACCTTGAGCCTTATGGTTGAAATCTAAATCGTTTGTCAATTCAGTAATCGCTTCTCTCTCTCCATATATATTTTTTCAATTTGATTTTAGTTAGCCAATAATCTTGATATTCATTTAATTCGTGACTTACTGGTGTCTCGTTATTGTAATAAATGCAACTTTAATTGATATACACAGATATGTTGGACTGTCACATATTGCTTTTAGTATTTTGATGAGAATGATTAGTAAAGACAGTGCCGATCAAAGCCAAATATGTTAAAATTTTTGAGGTACACTTGATGTAGTCAAATCAAGTAAACTGTGATTGACCGTCAAAAAGTCAATCATAGACCGACTGATCAGTGGATGGACAAATACATTTCTGTACAGTACAAAAGTAGTTGAAAGTATTGTTGTATCACATAGTTGTCTACGCAAGATACTTCAGATCCAATGGTCAGATACTATGAGTAACATCCCACTGTGGGATCGGAAAAACGAGATTCGGGTGGAGGAAATCAGGAAGAAGCACCGGAGACGGACATGACACACATTACAGAAATCAGTAAACTGCGTCATAAAGCAAACTCTAACTTGTAATCCTCAAAGCCAAAACACATTACGCCGAGAATCGGAGATAGACATGGAAAGAATTAACAACTATTGGATAGAGCTAGAAAGGAAGGTTCAGTACAGAGTAGATTGCAGAATGTTGGTGTGCGACCTATGCTGTATTATAGTGGCAACAGTCGTAAGTAAGTAAGTAATATTTTCCAACAGAGACCTACTTCAATCAACGTGTTTTATTAGTGATTAACAAACACAAATTACTGTGACTTACCTGCACAAAATGCAACATTAAATATTCTTGTAATTGCACCAAAACTAGATATGTTTACAATTAATCCTGTAGGCAATGGTTTCTTATTAATAAGTGATGATATTGTTGTACTACTATTACTACTACTACTATCAGTAGTGGAATGATTACATGCATTTTCATTAGTTCCCGTTGAATTCAATGATTCTTCACGACATTTAATCATCATACGTGTAGCTAATACACTGCATATATAAGCATTACGAAGTCCAACTCGATTAATTAAATCCCATTCTTCATTTGGACGAAGTTTTGATTCCCAATATGGTGAATTATGATTACTATTTTTATTATCCAATAAATAATCAGTTGCACTGAATGCACAATTTACAAATATATCTAAACGACCATGTTGTTCTTTGTGAATACGTGAAAAAAGTCCTGCAACTTGTGTATCATCTGAATGATCCACAGCAACAGGTATTGCTTTCTTATAAGAAAAAAAAAGAAACGAGAGAGGAAAATTTACTCAAATAATTGAGATCATTTAATGACGAATAGGATATTAAAAAATGGATTAAATACATTACAGAAAACAATATGTAGGTACTGTATAAATAGTTTTTCACAAAATTCTGAAAGATACACCGGTACCGTACAATAGCACAACTGTGGTGCGCGCTACTTATAAGTAGTATATGACGTTAGTGTCAACGAAATGTCTGGCAGCAGAAGATGGGGGAAGATCAAGAAACGAGGAGGAGTTAGAACACAATGGAATTTGTATGAAACGCATGAATAGTGACAATGGATTGATGTTTTGCAACACGAACAGTCCAGTTCGATAAGATGAACTGATATTTTGCAAATGAACGATTTACGATATGGTTTTCCGATTTTACTGAGTAACTCTGTAATTTCCTAATCATAGACTGAAATTGTGTAATGCATCTCAACGAAGAAGTCTCAGCGTTTCTGAACAATTTAGCCCTAGAAGTTAGTTGTTACATGAACTAATATCATACATTTTCATCTCCGATCATATTTACAGCATTTCTCCAAACTATTTGTAATCAACTTATCGTATTCGGTACCTGTGCTCATATGTTATCCCAAAGACTAAGGAGTAAATGAGAGATGGTATACAAACCACACTATTGCATTCAGCAATTTCTACACTTAGTCAAGGTTATAACCCTTATATTCTTTAAACTAATTTAGATTTGACAAGTACAACTTCGTTTTCATCATTCATCTTCTTACTAATATAACAGAATAAGTGTACATATCTATAAACCATGTGTATTTTTATCTGAATCAAATGACCCCGAGAAGTTAACCATTAGCGTTAAGTGTTATGATGTTGAATTCTTTGCTTCTTATTGTTAATGTAAAGTTATGATAACTTCAGCTTTTATAAATTTGTCTCAGGTCTTAATGTTGTTTATTTCTGTCACTTTATTTGTTCGACTAAAGGACAATACATATAACTAATACTTTATCATGTTCAAACTGAGGAATGATACATACTGTTGTAAATATTGATCAAGAGTCAACACAGAGAAGCAGTTTAGTTTCATTCATAATAATCAGAGTGCTGCAACAGGAGAAATAATCATCATTACAAACTATTCTTCATTTAGAGTGTTATGAAGATGGTAGTTTTACCTTGAAATCATGAACGAATCATTGTTAGACCACCTTGAAGCACTGGACGGCTGTTTCGTCCTGGTATACAAGTTACAGGAGTCGTGGATGCGCACTGCTGTTGAGTCACATACCAAGACGAAACGGCCGTCCATTGCTTCAGGTTTTCTAATGGTGGTCTGACATTGAATGATTCATGACTTAAAAAATTTTTAAAGCGAATTTTTTCCAGATGCTGTATAGTTGTTAGATGATAGTAAATAAAATAGATTTGTTCCAAATTGTTAACAGCAATATAATTACAATAAGGGACTAGATATGGTTAAAATATGTGTTACTTATTTTCGAATAGCGTTTAGTTTGAAGCGTTATCCTGGTAATTAAACACATAGATTGAAAAATGAGTCTAGACTAAAGGCTAGGATCACTACATAATGTTACAAAATAATGAATTGAAACATGTAGGAACGTGTAAACTATTTGGTTGGTATTTAAGAAATAATTGTAATCTTTAGTTGGAAAGTTTAGGTGATATATATTCATTCTTGAATATGCCACTAGACGGATGGTTATTCCTACTACTACTACTACGGAACTCCTTCAAAATTTTGAGATATTTTCCTCACAAATGAAATGATAATAGTTCGTTGATTTTTGCTGCACACTGATATATTAACTGTAATACTAAAAGTTACGTATAAAATATTAAGATGGCTGTAAAGTTCTAGCAGAAATAATAATTTTTTAAAAACTTACTCCACCTGATGCATTTATAATATGGGCAGTATCACGAAGACTAGCTCCTCCTTCTACTCCTTTACTATTTTCCGTTGTAAGAGTTCTTCCAGTAATGTAAACAGTAGCTCCTGCTTTACCAAGACCAATAGCTATACCTTGGCCAACACCACGACTAGCTCCTGTAACCACACAAACATAACCAGACAGATCTGAAGGCATTGAAATATGCAAAGTGCTGATTCGTCGAAAGGCTGTTGTGCGACCTGGGGACTAAATTTTACCTGACTGATATAGAAATGATGTTGAGGGTTCGCAGTATTGAGTTTGATCAGTTAGTACACGAACCTGGGAGAGATTTGAACGATAAAGAATGAGTAAGAAAATGCAATTCACTTAAATAGCAATATAAAGGTAAATCAGTTATTATTAACATCAAAATAAAATTTATTGTTCTGTGGTAAAATCTATGCATATACATATTCCAGTTAACCTATAAAATTATTTGTAAATATTCAAATATACCAACGGTGTGACATTTTCTCTGCGATCTATCAACTTTTTTGCATGGAATTTTGTTATTCTAATATTAATCCTTCGCAATTTTTTAAGCTGTATGTTTGGTTTTGTTACTCAATCAAGAAGTAAAATGTTTCTTTGCAGCTAAACGAAACATATTTTGAAAATAGAGGTGAGTATCTTCTTAAGGATGAATCAAATTTATGTTGGTATAAACAGCTGGGAATAACATACATAAAGGGAAAAACACAATTCCCCAATACAAACAACACAGTTATTTTCAGACTTTAAGACAGTCGTTTAATCCTCTCGACTCAGAAGTCGTATGGAAGTATTAAGCAGATAAATTTCATAACTAAAGGAACTATTCAGGTGCATAGATTTCTGTAAAAGATTAAGGAGAGTTTTCCAATCTGAAATGACAAGTAGAGTTTTTTAAGGATATTTATTATCAGTTTTCGCGATTAGTTTTTCCCTAAGTATCATAATTAAAGTAATTGTGTACCGATAGAAAAAAAATTAAAGGATGACAATACTAAGGAAAATAGAAAAAGTGGAATCTGTGTCATTGCAAGCAAATTTAGATCAATATTGACTTATCTTTAAACATAGATTACGATTATCTGGCAAGCTCAAACCAGAAAGACTACATTTTCGAACATAGCTCAGTCCATTAATAAGTTATAATAATAAATAATGACATGTTCGACATTATTTTTTCATGTCTATACATTCCGACTATAGCCGCCATTTTGACGTAGTGGTCGAGCTTGCGTCAGCCTAGCTATATTGGCTGGAACACGTTTCTTTAGGTACTACTATGCCAAGCTAGTTGGTTGGAGAACAATTAATTTAAAAGCAGCAACTTAGCATACGAGGTCGAAGTCGCTTGTGCGCTGTCCGACTAGACTGGACAGTAAGGACTCAGAAAAATAAAGACAGTCGCTGTAGCCGCTTTGGGGTCTCACTAATTACAACTCAGATAAAGTAAAAGATGAGTTCTAAAGAAAACTATCAACATTCTTTAAAAACTAAGCGCTGTGACGTAGAAGTAGTGGTTGTTCTTAATGCCCGAGTAGGTAGACTAAAAAACCGAAAGATACTTAGGTGGATCTTACGGTGACGCAGCTTAGTAAACAGATGATCGCGACTGTCTGCAGCAATTATGCTCAGATAACTTCCTATTTCTGGCAAACATCGCATAATGGGAAACATCTTTTGACATGGCGAACCCCATAATTGACTCACTCCTAGGCTCAAATAGACCACATTTCTATTAGCCAACGTTGGAGAGGCTCGATAGAAGATATAAATAGATAAATCTAAACTCAGATCATGATTTAGAACGAGAACGTATTTGTCTGCAACCTACAGGGCGAAAAAAGCCGCAGCAAAGAAACCACTGGAACTCAACTTAATAATAAAAAAGCCAAGAATACATTTCAGGAATTACAAGAAAACTAGTCAGTCAACCATGTAAGTGATACCACCCTGAAACAGCTTACAAATGATATCCAAAGAGCTGTGGAGACAACAAAGATATTTGCAAGTAACTTAAACCAAAAGATCAGGTAAAAGTCAACGGATGTCAGTGGTATCTACTGTACTGATAGACGCTCGAAAATTCATCCCGTCTGGCTCTGAACGTGATGAGGAGTAAAGTCAGCTTAAATGAGAGCTGAAACTTATCTTCAATCCTCTATATTTTCTATAAATACTGATACTGTTACAATATCCACTACTCTTGGATTTGGCTTGAAAATTTCATCTGTGTATGTTAAAGGGTACGGAAACTTGAACTGATGTATATAAGTACTAAGTTCTGTAGTGCGGCTGACTGAATGACTATACCAGTTTCATACGGGCACCCATACTATAATCAATATTTTTTGATACATACGAAACGAACAAGTATGTTGTGGCTGAACTTTCGTGCTTAAATGATATCTAGAAACTACTGTTTTCAGTTCAACTAAGGAATTAGGAAAGTATATTAATAAAAGGCATTTTTTAGAATGAAATTTAAATGTGGCAGTAATAACAGTGCTGGAAGCTTTATGTCCTGGACTTTTGGAACTTTTTACATAAAAATAAGGATTTGACATCTGGGAGCTTAGCTGAATAACTTAAAATTCTGTGACAAATTAGTAAAAGGTAAAACCTATTGCTGATAATGTTGATGAAAAAAGCGCACTTATTAGGTAGATGGTTTTTATGAACGCCACTAAAACAGAATATTTTGTTTATAATGCAAACAAAACCAGCCACTAAATTTATACTTCTCGGTACGAATTCTAAAGAATGAATCTCATTGGTTATTAATCATAGCAAAATTTTGTTAAACGTCTGTCAGTTCAAATTGTTCACAAAATAATCTTGCGAAATTCTTTTAGTCGACACTAATTCTCAGTATCCAAAAAGTCGTATTAAAAAAGCCAAGGGTGAGAATACAAAAGTCGTCAGGTCTCAAAACGAATACCTTCAGTTTAAAATTCAGAAATCACTGCTTCGTCACACCATAGTACATTTCAAATGGATTGTGTAGTTTAGTGATTTTTTTATTACATCATATGAACCGTGTACTAGTATTTTGTTAGTAATCATATATCGCCAAGTTTCACCATACCTCACTCCATGAGACGATACCAAAAGTTTTAGCTCTTATCTATTAAAAAGTTATATCAAAACCGCTCCCATCACACGGTCTGAAATTTTACTATACTTGGTTCGTGTCTATATTTTGAACGTGAGCCTGTAGTTATGTTGCGTGAAAAAACTTCCGGTTATTGTGACTGTCCTCGATTCCAAACTAACCGAGAGCTTGTGTTGGTTACAGTTTTGTGGGCAACAATTATTAAACTATATCATATCATTGAGAAATCATCGATCGATTAAGATTATTTTCAATTTATCTTAACAGTCGGGGACATCATATAATAGTGTAACTCACAAAAAACCAGAATTTAATGGGTAATCCTATAAAATGAAATTTATGACAAACTTCTAATTTGACTGGTGTAATTTTATATACATGATGTGCACAACTTGTAGTGCATATGATTGAGAATACTTTCCGAATTCTTAAAATAACTGGTTTAAAATTTACCTTAGTCATTCTGCATGAGCTTATGCAAAAACGACCACTAAATAAGATTTTTTGATGAACTATCAATCCAGATCTATTCTGTTATCATGTAGTTTATAGGTGGTACATAATTTACATAAGATTATATTTTATTTATGTTTAGGGACTTAGTTCACTTTTTTAGGAATTCGTTTATGTAATTTGCAAAGAAATAAGTTAATGGAAATAAACACTTAATAATGGTGAAATTTAAATCCGGATTGGAGTCAAATAAAACTTCTGGTGAAAATTGTCTGTACAAATAGACCTTAAGAAATTTCGCTAAACATCCAACTTCAGTGCACTGAGTTAAATTTTGATGGACCATCTAAAAATGACAAAAGGCCTTGATACACAGCACTTTCTCGTTAAACTCTCTAAATATGAACTTTTCAAAGTACAACGTTTCATGACTTCCCTGTTTCGATGAAATTAGCAATGCAAGTTTCATTTTATTAAGATCATTAAATTTTGTACACATAAAGCACCACCCGAGAAACATCGTATATAAAAGAAGAGTACTAAGTCCTTAGGACAAGTATTGGAACATGAACGTATTCAGGTTTGTCTTTTATCACTGCTTACCTTCAGAAAGGAATTTCAAACTACAGATTCTTCGATTAGGTGTAATTCGAGTAGATTTAACTGATCTAACAGAAGGATAATAAGATATATACCAATTATAAGTAAGAACTATGAATAATTACATAATGGCGGGCTATCGAGGACAAAGCAGTGAACGTTAAAGAGAAGCAGATTAACAATGATTATAAAATTAAAATCATGTTAACAGACTCAACAAAACCACTCATACTAAGAGCTTCCTCTTTTAAAGGCAGTAAAAGTGACATCAGTGAAGGAAAGGAGTTGGATTTACTCATCATAATGTTCGATATCCAATAATTTCTTCACGACCGAGTGTAGACTAATTGATTCCCTGTCCATCACTGCTAATTGTTTTGATAAGTTTTCAGTTATTTAGTTATATCCAATAGGCGGTACTCCAGCTACTCGACTATATTTAATCCACTCGGTTAGGTAGTTATTTATGAACTTGTATGTCTTGTAGGTCTAGTAAATTTGTCTCATGGCAGTAGGGTTTCTGGATATCAGAAGCTATAATATTACCAGGCCAGTCGGTTAGGTGCAATTTTAGGAATAATAAGAGAAAAATTCTGATTCTGAGAGGAAGACGAACGTTTCAGAAACTGAATAATTATTTGGCGATCTTATTAGTGTGAGAGGACAAAATAAGGAAATAATTGGCAACAGAGGTCAATAAAAGCTAGATATAAAAAATCGATGATTCAGTAAATTAATAATGATATTAACCGACAAATTTGAATAGGGTGCTTCTTGGTCAGGAGGGAGACGATAATCCGCGACTGTCCGGTAGCCGGCTTGATCATTCCCATCTCCTCCTTTGAGGATGGTAAGAGAGTAGATTACTTCCTAGTCGGTTGGAAATTAGTGTGATTCTTGTGAAAGCCTGAACTGTGGGCTCTAGAACATTGTTTCAGAGTAGCTGGGCGAAGGTGACTTATTCTAGAGACTTTCCTGAATGCAGGCATTTGAGTCT